GGTCAGTGAAGTCTTGTTTTTTTGACTAACAATCAGAAGAATTCAACAAAAAAAGTGAACTCTTGAAATGTTTATAGTCATTTATGTACGTTAACATAAGATTTGCCATTATTGGAATATTCAATTTCATTTTAATTAAGTAATGCTCAATATTGTATGATCCATCATTGCATCCCACTTCTATTATAACTTTCAAACACATACCAAAATGAATAGGAAATGCTTAAATATCTTGATGGTCAGATTTGAACTTGAAACTTCATCGCTCGTCTCTATCAACAACATGAATTATCTACTTGCCAACATTGTAGCCATGGAAAATTCCAACCAGAGCAGATGGACTACTTTCTAGGCCTTCAGCTACATCTTCAACATAGACCAATTTTCCTGTCTTCAGATGGTTCGTGGCCAATTGTAGGTATTCTGGATAAACATGCTTGAAGTCTGTTTCTACAAAGCCTTTTATCTCCAAGCGCTTGGTGATCAAGGTGAACATGTTTTTTAGTCCTTCTGGTTCATCAAGATTATACTGAGAAATCATTCCACAGGCTGCAATCCGACCGTGAGGTTTTCATGTGCAGAAGTACTTCATCAAGCATGCCACCACCCACATTATCAAAGTAAATGTCAATGCCTTCTGGGAAACACCTTTTGTCACAGATAAAAATGGAAGTTGAGATTGAGGATTAGAGTATATACTCAATATCACATATAGCATTCATGACTTCAATATTTCTTAGATGTGGGATTCAAATATCACATATACTGACCTTTTCAGTGCCGTACCTAAATCATGCTCTTCTTTATAGTTAAAGGCATCATCAAATCCAAACTTGCTTTTTGCAAGGTCAACCTGGAGTTTTCTTTTTGTGTTAGATTAAAGAGATTGAAAAGAAAACATAAACTAAATCTCTACCTTTTCTTTGGTGCTAGCACTTCCGACCACATAACAACCTGCCATCTTAGCAAATTGACCAACAAGTTGGCCTACTCCCCCTGCCGCTGAAGAAACATAAACAGTTTCCCCTTGCTTAGGAGCACAAAGTTTGTA